ATAGCGCCTTTCTAGTCTTCCTCCTCTTCCTCTGAGCTTGGTCACTTTATTTTGAAAGGAAGAGAAGTTACAAATATATATGAAGCTACAAATATATATGAAAGATGTGTGTGTGTCTCTGTGTGTGTACATACAACTATACATACAACTGCTCATCTACAATTTAAAATATGTAATAGAAGTATATAATAAAATATGAGTAAAGAATGACAGTAAAGAAACTGCTGTTTGTATAATGTTAGTCATGGAAATATTTTCAGAATATTGTGTTTTCTTGAACATTGAGACCATGAGTTTGAGATTCCTGCTCTATGGAATTACTGTGCCAAGCTAAAAGTAATATTAACAGCTACCTTTAACCCAACCCTGCCAAACCCTGCATTCTGCACAGTGAAGTTCAAACATCACAATGTAGGAACAAGCACTGAAACACATTTTTGAGTACAAGGGGACTTTAAATAGTAAAAACCTTGACGTGAGATAACCTTTCAGAATACTAGCTATAATCTAGATTTATTGTTCCCTCTGCACAGCGTCCTGTGAAGCCATGGCCTCCAGTCTTCCTCTCCTCCTGCTGTTCCTGTGCAGTCTGAGTGTGGCTCAGTCCCAGCTGAAGTTGTTTAGCCTGCGGGCCGCAGATCTTCCCTCTGACATCTTGGGAATCTCAGACGGCTACGTGAAGGTGTTCTGTGGCTCAGCCTCTCTGGGTAAAACGTCCATCCGTCACAATGAGGCCAACCCCTGGTGGGAGGAGCAGTTTGCCTACTTCAAGGCTCAAGAGAATGACATTCTGAGGCTCGAGGTTCACGACAGTGACCTAGTCTTCGATGACCTGCTGGGAGTCTGCCAGCGACAGATCAAGCTGGGAACCCATGAGCACGAATGCTTCCTGGAGAAAGGCGGCACTCTCCATTATACCTACACCCTCGGCTGAGAGTCATTAGCCAAGCTCTGAGTGCTTAGCTTCTCTGTCCCAAATCTGTAATTCATCCTGTAGGATTAAACCAGAAAAATTGTCATTCAAACTCATTAACTTAATCAATAAATATTTTTCATTTGCTATTTTACCCTGTTACCAAAGGTTGTCAATAAAATATAAACTGCAACAATCAAACTTATTGCTTGCTCAGTCATTTAGCATAACATTGTGAGAGTGAAAGAGATAAATAATCAGTTTACTATTTGACAAGAGTTTCTGACCTTCTAAGGTCGAGACAGCTCAGTTTAATAAATTCCTTATGGACCCCATACAAGTTCTGGCAAACCAGTAGACATTCAACATATTTTGGAGTCTTGCAGCAAAATCCAATGTTTTGCTCTTTTAGACACATTTCCCTGCTGAGACTTTTTGTTTTACACCCAGCCCCGATAACTCCAAAAGACATGAAACCCCACACATCAACAGGAAAAACTGCCTGGTCTCCTTTGTCCATATCAAGATTTACATCCTACACTAGCATTGCTAATGCAGGAAGTAGGGGGCCGTATACAGTAGCTTATGTAGCAAGACGGAACACAAGTGTTGAGGTTGGAGTGGTGGACTTCAATAGAAGAGACTTTACATCTAGTCACTGACCTGCAATTATCATCAATCATTTTATTAATTAATACAATCTTCAACCATACTGTAGTTGCCATCTGCAGAAACAGTAGAAAAGTAGACTTTTAAACACTGGCACTGAATGCACAGTACAGTAGCTTTTAATTAGTTTTAGGTTGACACAGTTATTGTATGGATAATGTAATGTAGCTATCAAAACACAAGCTGACTTTTTGTGTTTACTGGCACACCTGTGCACACATGGCACATTGCTTAAAGTCTCCTCCAGTCAGTTTGACACTAGAGGAATGTTCTCACATGCATCTGCTGAAAGTGGAAAGTTTCTCTGTGCTCATTTAAAATTTATATTTTTTATTCATTTTTAAGAGCAGGACTAACCGGATGTTTATTTAGTTTAAAGGCAACCAAGCATAAAGACAGTTACAGCTGCAGTCATTTTTGCTGGAACTTTCACTATATCCTGACAGTAAAAGATGAGACAGATAATCTGTAAAAAAAAAAAAAAATCAGGTTCCATAATTTTATTTTAGGAATCCACTGGGCCTGACTGAAAACAACCAATCAGAGCCAAGAAAGATAGTTCAATTTAATTCAGTTATATTTTATTTGTATAGCACCAATTCATAACAGATCTCAGGACACTTTTCAAACAGAGCAGGTCTAGACCGTACTCCCTATTAAATTATTTACAGAGACCCAACAGTTCACACCATGAGCAAGCACTTGGCGACGGCGGCAAGGAAAACCTTCCTTTTAAGAGGCAGAAACCTCAGACGGACCCCGCCTCTAGGTGGCTGGTCGTCTGCCTCGACCAAATTGAGTAGTTGATTGTTAATTGACTCATTCCCAGGGCATAAAATACAGACACTTTGGGACCCTGGGAATGAGACTCAACTATATTCAAGCCTCCAACTGCAAGCATCTTTATATCTTTCTTGGCTCTGATTGGTTGTTTTTGTCAAGTTTTTTAAAATAAAACTTGCTATAATGATTTTAAAGAGTGAAAAGAACAATTTCCCCTCGGGATTAATAAAGTATATCTTCTTCTTCTTTAATCTCCATTTTATATTTACAAGAATATGGAAAGTCTGTTTTTGTCTCTGGCTCCATTCCCACTCTTGGTCACGGTGCTGAACGCTTCAGCCGGATCCTCAGTCTGCACTCCTGGCTCCAGTCCTCATGTAGATCCTACAAGTTGGATTTTATCAATAATTGTAACTTGTTCTGGAATTGTGCATCTTTCTTCAAAAGAGATAGGATTCATCTGAACAAGCAGTGCAGCCAGATGCTGTCAACAAACATTCAGCATGCCGTCCACTCCTCCACATCTGTATGACAGTATTTACACAACACACACACTCTTCCTTTCCCGTGTAGTCTCTTGTGCTAGCTCCCCCTACTGTCCTTCCCTGGCATCATCACTCTCACCGGTCCATCCATCGGATGTCTGGTCGAGGAGGAGGCCTAGCTGCTGCTGTTTTGTCTGTCGCTCAGTAAACATTGGTGATGTCAACACTTTTGAAGCGCATATGCTCAGGATTGGATTGGCTAATCCTTTTTATTGTGTTGTTTTTTGTTTTACCGTTAGCCATTGTACAATGGCTTTTTAACTGAATTTGCAAATAAATTTGCTGCTGAGCTTTTAAGCACAACCCAGTCTTTAACCTTAATGCAACATGTGTCTGGGTCAACCCACAACAGGGTCATACTCTTGATTTAGTTTTTACTATGGGTCTGAACCTTAATGCTTTATGCAATGATGAATTTTTGTGTGTCTGATCACAAGTTTATTACCTTTCATGCTGTCCTCACTACAAACACCCAACCGCTGACTTTGCAGACCTTACTAAGGATTTTGCTTTCCCTACCTGGACCAATGATCTAGTCTGCTCATTTAATAACCTTTGTTTATAAAAATAAATCCTCTCGTTCTCTACAATTCATCCCCCTGGATCAACAATGACATATGCTGTCTTAAAAGAGAGAAAAGGAAAGGTTCAGCACCGATGAAAAAGCACTAAATTTGAGGTTCATTTCATTCCTATGATGGAATTACTCATCTTTTAATAAGAAAGCAAAAGTGTCAAGAACTGCTGATTTCAGGAATTACTCTCATAAAAAAGGACATTATTTGTACTAATCTAATTACCTAAACACTAAATATGCAAATAAAAACAAGAAAAAAGATAGAAAGTGTATTCAATTCTAAGACAACAGAACAATGTAGCCTTTGAAGGAAATGGAATAGGAAAATATTATTAATTATTATTATTAATACATATTATTATTATTATAGATTTTTAGCATCAACAATGTCAGTGTATTTTTAAAGAAAAACGTATGTGCTTTAAAATTGTAATCCTGCTAAATGATCCACATTTTTATTAAATACAACTGTAATCTGAGTATTTTTTTCTGTAACTGTAACACTCCCCGAGCCTGCTCATCAGATATTGGAAAAAGGTTACCAACGGGCAAAACAAGCCAGAAATTCAGTGGTATTATGTAATGCTGAGAGTGTAGCAGGCTGTGTTGTGGGAGGGTGAGATAAGGCTGATATGAGGTCTGCTACCCTTTAAAAACATACGGAATAGCAAACAGTGTGGTGAGAAACAAGACATCAGGACCACAGGTAAGACTGCACCTTTAATTTTGCTCAGTTCCCTTTCAATTTCTTCCAACTAATGCCATGCTCTCAGCTCATTTCTGCCCTGCATGTTTGTCAGGAGGAACTGTAAGTTTCACAAACATTCATTGAATTGTAAAGGAGAGAGAGAGAGAGAGAGAGAGAGAGAGAAACAGAGAGACAGACAGATGTACAGCAACAACAGTAGCAACAACTACATTAATAGTAATGATCGATGACGATCATGAAAAAGACGATGACA